TGATTTAGAAGGATGCACCCTAACGTGCAAGACTGCTCATTAAAGCTTATCAATAATTACCTTTTTTCTATATTTATCACATAATAAGCGGACTGTATCTTTCGTCATTAAGCGTTATTCCCGCGCTATAAAAGAGCGCAATGGTCTACTTTCGATCATATATTTATGACATATTTTTTTTAAAACTTAAAAATTTTCTTATAAACGCAACTTTTTTCCACTATTCAGATTTTTTTGGTAAATACACCATATTTTAATGAAATGACAAAGTACAGTGGATTTTTTTTTTACAAAATAAGGGATACTATATAAGTGTCACATAAAGCCACCGTTCCACGAATTCGATGTCGCATCTTTCAAAAAAAAAAGAGCGTAGATTCACGAATCCGATAAAAAAAGATCAGGATAAAGCAGTTGGGAGTCTCGCGGTGTGTCACACCTGTAACCAGATCCCGTTAAAAAAAATTAACTCGAAATCAAAGGAAAACATACATCATTCTAAAAATAGTCCTTCCTAAACCTTTGCCATTTTTTTTTTTTTTTAAATTACACTAATTTATTTAAAGTTATTTTATTGTATTTTAATTGTTAAATGTTGTATTTTGGTTCTTGAGATTATAGTCGTCGTCACCACCATTCAGCCGTGCGGGTTAATTCAAAGCGTCAAGACGATAAGGCATTCGCATAACTCGTCTTGAATTATTTGAGTTATTTCACTATTAGATATGGTATGCGACTTGCACTGGGAGTAATGCAACTTTCAAGGCGGCCGCACTTCTCCTTACTTTACCACTGTTCCACGCACTTTAAAGTTTCATCTAACACCTATATATATATATATATATATATATATAATACTCGAAAATTCAATTTTCAAATTAAAATAATTGAATTCAAAAAGTATATATAAAAGTGCAATGAATCACGTAGAAAGAGGTATTTTTTTTTAAAAGATATATATATAAAAAGTCATTGGAGAATTAGAAATTACGTCTTGAAATAGTCTATCTTTTTCACCTTTGACCGCTTTACTTTGTGCCATCTTTTGGGCTATTCGCCTCAACTCTCATCCTCCTTTGCCCCCTCATCGTTGAGTATATTACCAAGCTTCAGACGTCCCTAATCGTCATCATCGTGAAGTGTTAATGTTCCCGTTAACTTGGTTGAGGTGTTTAACCTTGTTAACTCGCTGGCGTACTTACGTCTTCTTTATATATATATATACATATATGAATATTATATATATATATATATATACACTCATATAAAATACACTCTTTAGATGCTACTAATCGTGTTCTATTTTGTCCTCTCCCTTCTTTCTTTGTGACAACAGTTGATATAATCACTGGTCACACCTGAGGTATTAGACGGATATCCGCTTCCATAAACACGAAATTATTTATAGTATATTTTTTTTCGGTCACTTCAAAAAAAAAAAAAAGGTGATGACATATATTGAATAATTGTTGTTGCTTTCACTTTAATTTAAAGAATATTTAAATCAAATATTTATACCTTTTTTGGCACACTTTTATAATAATTGATTTTATTAAAAAATGTGAAATTTAAAAAAAAAAAAATTCCAAAGACATGTTTATCTCGACTATGCTATTCCTCGTATACAACACAATCAGGTAATGTCGACAAGAAGAAGGTATACAGTAGATCAGCATCGCGGATAACAGAAATAAAAGTTATACTTCTCATTGTTCGTGGTGGCTTCTAATTATAATTGTGAACCGCTCTACACATATATATATATATATATATATATATGTATATATATATATATACACATGAATGACTGCTTCTGGTGCGTGAATAAGTACAGCTAACAATAAGTCAAAGACATTATTTAAAATACGAGCTACTTCACTCTTCAATATGGATGTCGTAAAATGACATTGTTCCTCAATAAAAAAAAATAATAATATTTTTAAAACGGAATACAATTTTTTTGTAACGAAAAAACAATTATGATTGCCAAAAGGTATATATGATATATTCCCTCACAGCACAGGATGTTAAACGATATCCTAGGATATCACTTTCCTTTCGGCAGTTTGGAAATCCCTAGGATATTCTGAGGATGTCCTAGGGATATCCAAACTGCCGGAAGCAAATGGATATCCTAGGATATTCTGAGGATGTCCTAGGGACATCCAAACTGCCGGAAGCAAATGGATATCCTAGGATATCACTTTGCTTTCGGCAGTTTGGAAATCCCTAGGATATTCTAAGGATGTCCTAGGGATATCCAAACTGCCGGAAGCAAATGGATATCCTAGGATATTCTGAGGATGTCCTAGGGACATCCAAACTGCCGGAAGCAAATGGATATCCTAGGTTTATCACTTTGCTTTCGGCAGATTGGAATTCCCTAGGATATTCTGAGGATGTCCTAGGGATATCCAAACTGCCGGAAGAAAATGGATATCCTAGGATATTCTGAGGATGTCCCAGGGACATCCAAACTGCCGGAAGCAAATGGATATCCTAGGATATCACTTTGCTTTCGGCAGTTTGGAAATCCCTAGGATATTCTGAGAATGTCCTAGGGATATCCAAACTGCCGGAAGCAAATGGATATCCTAGGTTATCCTTTAACATCCTGTGCTGTAAGGGTTCTCTCATTTAATTTTCGATTTAAATTTTACGAGTGTTTACAAAATGTACAAAGAAGATGATGGTTTATTTATTTTTTTTTTTTTTAGGATTCTGAGAATTAGACGTGCAACTCAAAGAAAATTTTCATCATGGGTTTACATGAAAGTGAAGCAGAGCTCGTTATCAAATGGACATCGTGAAAGAAGTGCAAAGGCAAGAAAGAAAAAAAAAGAAGAAAGAAAAGAAATCTACGAGGCATGTAAACGCAGACGAACCGAATCTCGTGTGTCCCTGGAAATGTTTGCGTACAGAGGGACCCAAAATGATTTACAGGGACTCACGAGCAATGTAAAATGGGATCACTTTTGCTCGCGCACACAACAAGGAGCGTGAGGGATCTGATTATCGCTCAAGATTGTTTGCGCTCACAAAGAGATGGGCCTTCACTCGCGGAAGGCGAGGTTCGAGATTCAGATATTTTTTTACGACCTCTTCTCGTTCGTGTTACGACTTTTGATTAGTTACTTCAAGCGATTCTTATATTTAAAGGAAGAAAAGAAAACGAGTTTTAAGATTTAATCGAAACAGTAAATGATTTTCTTTAATTACAAAAAAAAAGGTTGATAAGGTGAAAAAGAATTTTCAATTTAAATTTCCTTTTTATGATGATTTAATTATTGTTCCGTAATTTTAAAACAATTTTATGTTCTCATTATATTAGTTTCTTTCTATATACTGATAAATGTTAAATAGAGTTTAAAAAATGTTATTTTTTTAAAACTGTATCTAAAAATAATTGAAATACACTGATAAAAAAAAGATTACAAATAGAAACGCAAAAGGAAAAAATAAAATTCTTGTAAAATCAGGAATTTGTAATATAGTATATATAAATATCGATATAGAATGTGTGCTTACATAAGAGCTTTTCATGCACATGGATCTTAAGTAGGATTTACATGTATATGCGACACACACATATGAGTTCATGTGGAAATAGAAGATAGGGCAAACAATTGCTATCGGCTCATAACGAATGCGGGAGGGAAACTGCGTTCAAAATTAACCCTCTCATTCGACTCTTCCCCTTTCCTAATTTTCCTCCTTTCTCTATATACCAAAAACCATTATCGATAACAAGAATAACATGGAACCTCTTGCGTCAACAGGATCATTATAATTTCTTAGAAAAATAACGATTGTACTAATTTATTACTAATTATTATTATTCCCCACTTGGAAAGATTCCCCGGAAAGTGCCTCCTTGGAGGTTCTATCAGAATTCCGCCGGAACTTCCAACGTAATTCCGTCGGAATTCCATCGGAGTTCCAAAGAATTTCCGATGGGATTCCGACGGAATTAGGACTCTAAAAATTTTGAAAAAAATTAATCGGAACTTCCAACGTAATTCCGTCGGAATTCTATCGGAGTTCCAAAGAATTTCCGATGGGATTCCGACGGAATTAGGACTCTAAAAATTTTGAAAAAAATTAATCGGAATTCCGTCGGAATCCCATTGGAAATTCTTTGGAGTTCCAAAGAATTTCCGATGGGATTCCGACGGAATTAGGACTCTAAAAATTTTGAAAAAAATTAATCGGAACTTCCAACGTAATTCCGTCGGAATTCTATCGGAGTTCCAAAGAATTTCCGATGGGATTCCGACGGAATTAGGACTCTAAAAATTTTGAAAAAAATTAATCGGAATTCCGTCGGAATCCCATTGGAAATTCTTTGGAGTTCCAAAGAATTTCCGATGGGATTCCGACGGAATTAGGACTCTAAAAATTTTGAAAAAATTAATCGGAATTCCGTCGGAATCCCATTGGAAATTCTTTGGAACTCCGATGGAATTCCGATGGAATTACGTTGGAAGTTCCGGCGGAATTCTGATAGAACCTCCAGGGGGCACTTTCCGGGGAATCTTTCCAAGTGGGTCAATTATATTAAAAAGGGAACAAAAATTTTCATGGTCCATTGTAAAATCGGATGCTGTTGGTCCTATAAAAAAAATGCCTCACACATGTTTTGTATATCACTGTGTTATCCTGAGATAACTTCTGTCCACTTTGACCGGTATTAAATAAATTGTAATTATTATTTTACAACTTATTACTTATTTTACATAACATTATACTTTTACGATCTTGAAGATCGTAAACTGAAAATAAGTGACTAAATAAAAATATCTAAATTACAATATCCGTAGTTATTTATTATGGCTAATTCATTTCCTGTTTTAAAAAGTGAAAAAAAAAAATTTAATTTAATTTTTAAAATTACACTAATTTGTTTTGAACAAAATTAAAATTTATTATTTAATCAGAAAAAAAATGAAACTTTGCAACCTATAAATACTGCAGTTTTTTTTGTTTGATTCAGTTCATATCTAGCGACAACATACAATATACACAATAACTAATAAGTTATCTATTCTAAATTTACCATGAAGTATACAATATTTTTTGCAGGTGTTGTACTTTTTCAATTGGTAAGCATATTTTATTAAAATTGAATAAAACAATAAAATAAAAATTTTAAAAAAACATAAAAATTGTATTCATACTTCTTAATGTATAGATGAGCATTGCTTTATGTGACCATAAAAAATTAGTGTTAGAGTGTGCCAAAGAACTTGGAATTACAGAAGGTATAACAAATTTGTTTTGAAAATTAAATATATTATTATTGCCTTTTGCTTTTAAACTGTGTTTTAATAATTAAAATTAATTACAGCTATGCTTAAATTGGGTCATGATAAAAATTTATCAAACCCAAAATTTCGTTGTTTTGACGCATGTCTTATGAAGAAAGATGGTAGTGTAAGTAAATTATTTTTAATTATAATCCTAATATAGTAATTAATAATTCTAAATAATATAAATAAATATTTACAGCTTGAACCCGGTAATAAGGTAAATCATGAAAAATTATTGTCACATGCAAAACAGTTTTATGGAGACAAATTTGATGCAGTTATAAAAGCACTAATCGAATGTGATAAAGCACGTAAGTTTATAAAAAAAAATATTTGCAAATAATTTGTTAGTAAATTTTAAAAATATAGAAAACATTTAATATAAAATTAATTTCAATTTACAGAAAAAGCCATTGCTGATGAATGTGATTATATTAATGCAATATATGCTTGTGTAGTGAAGAAAGTTCCAAACATTCCAGATTATTTCGATGTATAATGCAATGGACAACATATAGTTATGGAAAAAAAACTAAAAAAAAAAGTTGGAAAGTAGAGATTGAAGAATATAAAAATTATTTAAACTAATACTAAATAATAAAATGTAATTTTTAATATAATGTGTAAATATATGAATAAATCGCTTAAATGAGATGTATATATATGCAAATTACTGTACCCTAGATAATTTAATTTATTTTTAGAAAAAAAAATTCTGTTAATCTTATGATGAAATTTTTATTTTTAAACGAAAATTTGATTTTTGAAAAAAAAACAGCAAAGTACTTTACAGGATTTTAAAGTACTTTACATATAACGCACTTGTCTTTACAGTAAGAGAAACAATACATTATGTTATTTTTCTATGAATTTAAAAGTCATAAACAGAAAATAAGTTACCAAAGAGATAAATCTAAATAACAAAAAAAGATTAGTGAAGTTAAGATAATTTATTTCCTGCTATAAAAATATTACAATTCCTCTCATTTTTTTTTTTTTTTTTTTACAAAATTATAATAATTATTGTCAAAAAGGAGATGCTTCACAAACATATAAATACTGCAGATTTTTTTTTATTTGCCACAGTTCGACCAACAACGCAACAATATTCACATTGAACTTTGAGAATTCACTTCTAAATTCACCATGAAGTATATACTATTCTTTGCAGGTGTCGTGCTCTTTCAAGTGGTAAGCATTCTATTAAAATCTACCCCAAAAAATTAATTTCTACTAATTAGTATATTTATTAATAAATAAAAAATTATAATCACATTTTAATGTAGATGAGCACTGCATATGGCAATAAAGAATATATGTTAGCATGTGCCAAAGAACTAGGAATATCAGAAGGTAATTTTTTTGAAAATTAAATCCGTATTAATATTAGTAGTAATGGTACAAAAATTATTATTGTTTCTTTAAACGTGAGTCTTAATTGTAAAATTATGTTATAGCTACTCTTAGTGAGGGTCCTGAGAAGAATAAAGGAAAACCAGAATTTCGTTGCTTTGCTGCATGTATTATGAAAAAAGATGGTAGTGTAAGTACAATTAATATATTTTTAAAAAAATGAATCATATTTAGATGTAAAGTTTAATAATTAAAAATAATTTTTTCGAAGCTTGATGCCAATAATAAAATAAACGAGTCAAAATTGAGGGAAAATACAGCTAAATATTTTGGAGACAAAACTGATGATATTATGAAAGCAGGAAGCGAGTGTGCTGAGAAATGTAAGATATAGGAACATTTGTTTATAATTTTTTTCTGTAAATTTTATAAATCAATATTTCTTTAATATGAAATTATTTTTAAATTACAGCAAAAGCCATTACCAATGAATGTGACTTTGTAAATGCTGTAGATTTATGTATACTTGAAAAAATTCCAGACCTTCCAAAATTTTTTAAAGGATAAAATGGGACATCATTTTTAAAACTATGGAAAAATATAACAATATGACATTAATGTAGAAAATAGATTGACAGCATTGATAGAAAACTAATGAAAATATTTAAATTACACTAAAAATAATTATAATTAAGTGTATGAATAAATATATTCTGTTCATAATTAAATTACATATGTGTACATATATAATTTCCATTCCCCTCCATTTAAGAATAAGGAAAGTTTTTTTTAACGTACTTTGAATGTACAAAAAAATATTTAATAAGAATTTAAAAAAAAAAAATTTTAATTAAAATTAAAAAATAAAATTAGTGAATTAAAATTAAAAAATAAAATTAATGAATTAAAATTTTAAAATATAATTTTGTGAGCTTTAAAATAGTAATAACTTTTATGTTAAAAAAGTAGTTTAATATTTTTAAATTTTTTAGTATGAAATATAATTGTGCATATAATTCTTATTTATCAAAATCTAAATATGCGATTTAAAAAAAAATTTTACACTCCACGTTTAAATTAAAAAATAAAATACATATAATAATTTAAACAATTTGTGATTTTAAAAATTTCCAACACTCTCGAAGTCAAAAATTTGTTAAAATAAAAAAAAATTAAGTTTTCGTTTATAAATTTTAGTAATTAAGTATTTTTCCTAAGTGATAAGAAACTTTATTTTTTTAATTTCCTCTCAAAATTATAGTTTAAAATCATTTTTATATTTAGATTTCATTTAATATATATAAAATGTGTTTTAAAAATACACTACAACGTATATTGTTACAATATTGCATCAATATTATATGGCAATATTGCAAATATTACATCGCAATATTCAGGCAATATTGTTGCAACATTAATTATGCCCGCATTGAAGTAATATTTGCCAAGCAACATTTAGGTAACATTGTTTGGCAATATTACTGTCAACTATGATTATATCCACCTTAAGTTGCAATATTTAGGCAATATTGTGACAATATAGCTTCGCGTAAAATCTCTAGAAAAAATTACCAGAGTTATTATTATATTAAAAATTACCAAAATTAGTGGTGCGGTATTGGTACCAGTATTTAGCTATAGTAGTCAATTTTTGATAAGAATTAAAACAGTTATTACTATATGAATATTATGGTCAAATATTGTTGCAATATTGCCTTAATATTACGACTCAATGAGGATTATAATAAGTGTTATCAGCAATTACCATACACCCAGAGAAATGATTTATTTGAATCAAATAAAATATATTTGAATTAAATACACAAATATTTGTCTCAGAGCCTACTAACTTATTTATTTCGCGTAAATAACAATTTTATTTGTCATAAATAAATTTTTCTTTGGCTCAAATAAATTTTTTATTTAAATGAAATAAAATATATTTGCAATAAATAAATGAGGCTCGGAGACAAATATACCATTTCTCTGAGTGTATAAATTTTTACCTACACTGAGAAAAATATGCTATTAAATCAATAGCATTTTCTGCCAAAGGTATAAAAATTATTGATTCAAAAGCATATGCTATAAAATCTATAAAATATTTTACAAATTTTATAGCATATGCTTGTCAATTAATAATTTTTATACCTTTGGCAGAAATGCTGTTGATTCAATAGCATATTTTTCCCAGTATAAATATTGTTTGGTAATATTAGCTTAGGGAAAATATAATAAATGTTGCAATAATATTACCTCAATATTACCATGCAATATTCGTAATATTGTCATGTAATATTGATACAGTGGTCATATATTTAGAAAATTGAATGTTTGAAGTAATTACACTATATACCTACACCCCAGAGTGGTTTTTCAAAATATGTTGCACGAAAGAAGCACAAATGAATACTAACTCTTTTTAAAAATTATAAAAATTAAGATTGTAACTATTTTGTTGCTACACAACTTAAAAAAAAGGTTCACGTAACCTTTTTTTTCTTACTATGAACTTGACAACCGGAAACTAAAAAAAAAAAAGTAACAATATAAAGCAATAGAAAAAAAGTCACAAAATAACCATATCTAAACAAAAATTCTTAGTAAAGTCATTATAACTAATTTATTTCCTGCTATGAAAATGATACATCTTTAATTTTTTTTAAATTTTAATATGTTATTGTAGAAATAAATTGCCATTTTGCAAACATATAAATACTGCAGCATTTATTCATTTGGTATACAGTTCGTCAATTTTGGGAAAACAAGAATCAACTCTTAAATATCTAATCATGAAGTGTATATTATTTTTCGCCGGAGTTGTACTACTTCAATTGGCAAGTATATATTAGTAAAAATTAAAATATATTTCTAAATTTTATATTAGTTAATATAATAAAAATATTATTAATTATTTAATATATAGATTAACAGTACATATGGTGATCCGGAATATGTTAAATCATGCGCCAGCGAACTTGGAATAACAGATGGTATAATAAATTTTTTATTATTTACTTTTTATTTTAAAACGAAAATATATTAATTATTAAAATTTATTATGTAGCTATGCTTCAAGAGAGTCATGAACAAAATATGGCACAACCACAATTTCATTGTTTCTATGCCTGTGTTATGAAGAAAGAGGGTAGTGTAAGTATATATCAGATGTAAAGACATTACATTAATTTTTAATTCAGTAATTCATTTGACAGTATCTATTTCAGTATCTATTTCTATTTTTAGAGAGTTTAAGAAATAAATTTTTTTTTTTTCATAGCTCACAGCCGGTAATAATATAAGTTTGGAAAAAATGAAGGGAAGAATAACACAAGTTTTTGGAGATAATAGTGCTTCAGTACTTCAAGCAGGAGTTCAATGTTATCAACAAAGTAAGAAACAAAAAATTCTATATTTCTAAATTTTCCATAAAATAGAATTTCTCTAATCTAAAATTAATTTACAGTTATGGGAGAAAACATTTCCGATGAGTGTGACTTTGTTAATGCTTTAAATACTTGTTTACTCAAAACAGTTCCAGGAATTGATCAAATGTTTAAGATTTAAGAAAATTTGTCCTGTTTTGAATATAATTAGTGAAAAAAAAAAACAAATTAAACGTTACTGCAGAAAAGTAGATACCACTGACAGGAAGAATAGAGAAAATATTTGAATTATATACAAACTGTAAAATGTAATACGAATAAATATATATATGTATTCCATTAAAAAGATTCTGTTATTGTTGAAAAAAAAAATGTTTTTATTTAACCCATGAAAATCATTCGCTTTTTCATTTATGAATTTTATTTTAATATCATGACAAAAATTGTGACTAACATTGAAACGTAGAGAAAATAAAAACGTTTATTTAAAAAAAATTTTCACCTGTAACAGCGATATGTTTCACTGAAACAGGAATATGTTTCACTAGAATAGCGAAAGTTTTCGTTATACTAGAGAAACATATCGCTGTACCAGATAAATATTTTTATATTCCAATATGAAAAAGTGTATTTTCAAGTATACTTCAAGAAAATTGTAATATTTAATAAACAAAAATAATTTATTAAGTTAATAATTAAATATTAATTTTATAATAATATAACATGTAATGAAAAAGAATAAAATTAAAAATCATAATTTTTATTTTCCAAAAATAAATTTCAGTTTTATGAAAAATTTAGAAACACATCATTTAATTCCAGAGAAATTAATCTCATTTAAAAATCTTTGCCACTAGTGGAATGTATTACTCGATCAGACAACGTCTGAAAATAAATTTTTTTTCTTATTAAAATACTAACTAAAATGTAGCATAGACAAAAAGGTCATTTCAAATTTTTTTTTTTTTTTAGTAAATAAAATGTTATGATATTAACTATAGCGTTTTCAAAAAACCAAATGTGACGCTCCACGAGAAAAGGGAGCTTATGATAACAAAAATTTAAGGTTATGTTTGTGATTCTAAAGTGATAATACATAAAAAGAATCAACTATTAATACAAAACATTTATATTTAAGTCTTTATTACATTAAAAGAAAACTATTTTTGATGTTATCTACTTTTTATCAAAGTTAAAAAAATATCACTAAACATAACCTAAAATTTTTTTTCTACCATATAAGGTCCCTTTTCTTGTGGAGCGTCACAAATATTTTTTTTTTTTTATAATTTTACGTTTAATCTATAATTTTTGAAGCACACACGAGATCTTTGACAAATGATGAAAATTAAGTATAAATCATGATGTTTTCATGACACAGAATCTTTCGGTTTTACATATACTATATGGTAAAAAAATATATTATTTGAATGATATAATAATAGTTAAATAAATACATGGAACAATAATTATACTTATTAAATGTATATAAGTATGTGTAATAAATATTACCTTCCGTAATTTTATTATACAAAAAGACAGAATTTACTGTAATTGAATTTTATGATCTTTCAGAAAACATATTTTTTTTTTACATATATAATAAAAATAACTAATAGAGAAAATTATATGATACATTTCCGCCAATTTAGAATTTGACCTTCAATTTTAATTAAGATATTGTCCACAACTGATATATAAATCCATGCAAATGTTCTTCTCTTCACTAGTGTTCTTGTGAACAGTGAGAAAAATGAAGTTTGTACTATGTTTCGCCGCAATTGCGCTCATTCAAATGGTATATATATATATAAGTTTAATATCATCAGTTGTTTTATTTTGTTATTTATTTTTATTATTTTTAATATACAACTAAATGAAAATTTTTTAAAATACACTTTTTTGATATTGTTAATAGATGGGTGCTGAAGCGAATAAGATGAAAGAACATATAAAGGAATGTTCTGAAGAACTTCAAATACCAAAAGGTAAAAAGGACCCACTTGGAAAGATTCCTCGGAAAATGCCCCCTGGAGGTTCTATGCAGAATTCCGCCGGAACTTCCAACGTAATTCCGTCGGAATTCCATTGGAGTTCCAAAGAATTTCCGATGAGATTCCGACGGAGTTCCAACGGAATTAGGACTCTAAAAATTTTGAAAAAAAAATTAATCGGAATCCCGTCGGAATCCCATCGGAAATTCTTTGGAACTCCGATGGAATTCCGACGGAATTACGTTGGAAGTTCCGGCGGAATTCTGATAGAACCTCCATGGGGGCAATTTCCGGGGAATCATTCCAAGTAAAATTATATTTTTTGTTTGCATTTTAAGTATATAGTATAATTAACATGATTTATAATCAACAATTTTAGGAATGGTGAGGGAGGCTTTTCAAGCTAAAAATTTTGAGAAACCGGAACTTCGTTGCTTTTCAGCGTGTATGCTGAAGAAAGAAAATCTTGTAAGTAAAAGATTTTTCTTTTTTTCACAATAATCAAAATGCATTATAAAAATAATTGAAAATCATTTAGCTGGAACCAGGTAGCAAGTATAATATAGAAAAATTGAAAATATTGGCAACAAAAAGATTAGGTGATAGAGCTCCAGAAGTAATTAAAATAAAGGAAGAATGCGTCGCATCAGGTAAATTTTTATCAATAATAATTTTAGCAAAAAATTTTACATTTTATTAAAATTGAATGAAATCTAAAATTAAAATTCATTAAAAATTTTAGCTCAAGGCATAACCGATGAATGTGATTTTGCCAGAAAAATTGAAACCTGCTTTTTACAAAATGTTCCACATCCTAAAGCTTAAACTGAAATAAAATACATGTGTTTTTTTTTAATATTTTAACGAAAAATAACGAATCATGTAATAACTCAAATGTTAAATTATGCAATTGTTAAAACTGTATACAGAAAATATATAAAAAGATTGAGATTATTTTATTTGTGAAACAAATTTATCTTTTTTCAAAATCAAAAATATTGATAACAGTATTCAAAATGTCTATGGCGTCACTTGAAAATTGCTAACCTAATTATCCTGAATATCCTGAAATATCCATTTAGTGGATGAAAATGAACATTAGAAAAGATATGTAGTAATGGTAAATTGATTTAAAGGAGCGCAATTTCGAGAAAAACAAGCACCGCCTTGATTTGGAAACTCTTCGTTGATTAAATCAACATGAAGCACGAATGAAATATTTGCAATTCCTCGCGAGAGAAATCGGCTTCTATAGAATTATTAAAATTAACGAGTACTATATATATTTGTTACGAAGGCAAATCGAAAATATGATTAACTTTTTAGACCATTACGAAATATGGATATTCGAGGTGGAACAAGCATATATATACATATATATTTGTTTTGGGATTGAGTTCGACTCATCTCGAAATGCTTGTAGTTGACTATCCTATTCGTATACATATATATATATATAAGTCGACTGGCGGCAGATACATACCAGGGGTGGGTACCTCGATACCAATCCCGGGACAGAGCGAGAGTGTTCTTATAGTGGAACTTATTGATCCAACAAAACTCATTTCAAGATACAGTGCGAAGTCTCCAAGATACAGCTACCACTCTCCTCTTTCTCTACATCTTCCTCTTTCTATCCATCTGTCTGTCCCTCTTACTCGCTCTAGCTTCTTCGTCTACCTCCTTCTTCCTCCTTACCACCCTCTCTCGCCGATTGCAACCCCATCCGCCCATCTTCCCTCTCCCCTATCGTATCCCAAGACGGTCCTCTATACGTATAGACGGTTAATGCATGTACAGAGTTGAAAAGAATACGCGAATTCAATTTTCAGAAAAGTTTTGTTTCATTTGCGGAAAATATGTTTTGGAAAAATTCAAAATTGCAGATTCAATATGTAGAATTGATTTAAAAAAATTGGCCTTTGGTTTCAAAAAAAATGGCTATTAGAAAATAAGATTTTTTGTATAAATAACCATAATGGTAAAATCTATATATGATCATCTTGACCAGATATCATGGAAGCTGTGGCAACAGCTGGTTAATATAAACAATATTGGAATAATAATTTAATTTGTAGAATATGGGAGAAGGAATCCCTATAGTCAGAAGAGCAGACACTCTTCCTCGTTGGGAAAAGTTAATAATTAGAGTCGACGCGTGACCTTGTACCTCGATTCGCTCTTTCTCCCTTACTCCTTACACTCTCTATCTTTCTCTCACACACACTTACACTCTGTCGCCGTTCTTGTGCAGCCGAAATTCCAAAGTTTCCCGGCAACTTAACTCGGCGCGAAGCAATTTCGGTTGCTGTGTGTATATATGTACCATCATCGCATCCCCCCCCCCCCCTCCCCACTCTTCTCATCCAAAAGTGCATCCACAAAAGGTCAAAATTCAATTTTCTAATCAAAATTATATAAGAGAAATTAGGGCCTTAATATTGGTTTCGCGGGCAAAGAGCAAGATCATCAGAAGATAGAGAGAAAAGAAGGGTAAAAAAAAGGAGAGAAAGGTAAAAGAGGGTAAAAGAGAAAGAGAGCGTCTGTCGAGGAGGGTGGTAGATGAGTCGGAGTGGGTAGTTTGTGGGGGGAAAGGGGTGGCACAAGAGGAGAAGAGAGAGAGAGAGAAAAGGGGGGTATGAGAAGGCCACGAATGTCGGAGGGAAAAGAGAGGATAGAGCTCTCTGCCAGCCGAGGAGGGCAAGGTGCGGTGGAAGGAGGGAGGTAAAAGAGGGAGTTGGAGGAGATAGATGTATGTGGGAGGGCCGCTCGATACAGCCCCAGCAAAATCCCATCCTCCACCCGAAGCCAAGCATCGCATCGCGAGGTTAAAGTGAGAAAAGTCAACCCAGTCACTCGACGAGTTCTTCCCCGCGCCAGGGCATTCCGAGCAAGCAAGACAGAAATACAACTGTATATGGAGGATTCTCCAGGACCCTAGGTCAAAGACCTCAACCAAGGGCTACAGGTTGATTTCTATTTTTTCTTTATATTCAAAAAAAAAAAAGGAAAAAATAGTTCTCCTTCGCGATGCCATCATACCGATTGTCAAAAAATGTTAGGAGACACTACGTAATAGAGAAAGAAAATGATGAAGTCTTTTATCGAAAGACCTTTTTTTTAAAGCCCACTTTTCTGAGTTGGCTGGCTTTCAAAATTTCGCCGCCGAGAGTCAGAGAGCAAACCTGCCTGGTGCAGTCGGCTTGTCACTTGGCTGGTTATCCCAGGCACTTCCATGCCCGGCCACGCGGATACGAGTGCATAAACATGCGAGCGAGTGCCATCCTAGCTAAAGAGTACCTTTATCTCTAGCGAGCCGTTTCACTCTCACCCTCTCTTGTATGTCTCTCTCTCTCTCTCTCTCTCCCTTCCTCATCTCCCATACGTAACGCTGGGAAAGTACAGAAGAGGAGGAGGAGGAGGTGGGTGCTCACGTAGGTTACTCCTTTCTGCCAGCGGAGGATATTGTGATTTTAGCGTCTGTGTAATTATGGAAATTAGCGACATGGAAAGCCTAGGATAAAAGGGTTGATTATAATCCAAGCGCCGAAGAGGAAACGGCAAGGAGGGAGAGTGAGAGAGAGAAAAAGAGAGAGAGAGAGAGTAGTCTCTCGTACTACATGACCATAGATTAAAACGTTCCTTCTGCACTCGCGCCTTTACCTCTCCCTCCTCCTCCCCCCCATAACCATCAACCCCTAGATCTCTCTTTCTATCTGCATATTCTATCCTATTGCACAGCGTCATGGAGGTATGTATAAAGATCGAGTTTCTCTTTCCATAGTAGAATTCAAATTCGGTCGCGGAGAACAAAATCTGTTCGGATTTCCTCCTGCTTTACCGAGCGAATAATCCATGCTGACCGATAACCGGAATTATATAAAGGAAAGACTCGTTTACATTTTAAAGAAAATATCTCTATTTAAAATTTGAATTTTTTGATAATAATTACTGAATCTAAAATTGCATTACCAAAGTCGTGCTACTAGAGTCGACTTCAATCAAAGTTGAAAAAAAAATTGATTGGTTAGTTTAACTAATCAGATTTACCAGGAGAATGGTGAATTACCTTCATTGGAGGAAATTTTGTCTCTCATTTACTCTCAGCGATATATATATATATTCATCCTCTTTGTTTTTTTTTTCCCTATCAGTTTATTGGACTGGATTTCATCGGGGTCGGAACTTGAAAGGTAGAGGAACCTATGATGTGATCGGATATCGAGTATCGGCTCGTGTTCCTATTGGTTGTTCCACCGCGCACGGTCGCAGGCGCGGAGTTACGACTGATTTGTTACGTAAAAACGTCGATAGCTTCTATACTACCGCCCCCGCGAATACCGCCACCGCCCCCGTGAGTGGCGGAGAAACGAAGAGCAAAAAAAAAAAGGAAAAAAAAAAAGAAAAAGCAGAAAGAGAGAGAGAGAGAGGAGTGCTCCTCTTTTTTATCGGCGCCGTGCGCCGCTTCCGTTCGTTCAGGCGGGAATAACGCTTTGACGAAGAAATGGCCGCCCGACGTCGACCTCATCAAGAAAAACGACCTTTCATTCTCCTCTTTTCGTATACCTCCTCCTCCTCCTTCTCTTCTTCTTCTTCCACCCCCTTCGCTTCTTTTCCACCCAGACAAACGTCGCTTTCTTATTATCCCTGCTCCTTCGATTGGCCGACTTACTGTCTCACTCTGTATATATATATATATATATATATATATCCTTGAGAAATTTTCATCTTAATCAGAAATTTCTTGCATCCTTATATCTAATAACTCAAGAGCGATTTGGAAACTTTTTTCTTATTTTTTTCCAGAAATGTTTCATTTAAGGAAAATATATTAAAGAATTGAGAGAAATACATATTTTTTTCAATGCTGTTGAAGTTATAAGTTAATTTGCACCATAGTATTTAAATATTTTGTATACAATTTAATTTCGTATATAGTCATGAATTATTTTTCCTCGCCCTGAATGAATTTTTCATTTTAACATTATATGCGGAAATACATTGATAGACTATACTTGAAAAATAATTTTTTCATAATCCATATATGTTTTGTATAATTTCAAAAAAAAAAAAGAAATGGAGAATTCGTATGAATTTTTTGATGCGGTTTTCAATTTTTAAATATATATAAATATATCATATAAGATAAATGCGTTTTTAGAAGTTATATATATATATTGGACATACGTGTACGATACCATACACCGATATGGTGGACCGTATTGTGTGGTAGCGGCATTGAATGGCGCCTCCGCCATTTAGCACCACCGGTAAAGCCACCAGAAGTTTCCTGCAATGAAAGCACTCGCGCGAAACCTATTGTGAAAATATCTGACCACTGTCGAGTGCAATGAGGTATGACTATTTTCCCAGGTCGAGTTACATTGCTCTGTCATAATAAGAAATGAATCGCATATATTTTAGATTTTAATACACAATCATGATTTTTAATTATTATTCAATATTATTTTTTTTATGGGAAAAAAATTATAGACAAAACTTGAGGGGGAATTTACTCAGGTATACAGAAAATTAAAAGGCATTAAAATAAGCTACAATGCTTATTATTTTAATCCAATTTTGCTTATTTTAATCCCATTTTTGCTTATTTTAATCCATTTTGGTATTAAAATAAGCAAAATTGGATTAAAATAATAAGCGTTGCAGCTTATTTTAATACCGTTTAATTTTCTGTGTAGTCCACTGTATATACTCAACTTGTAATACTCGTGTAATAACGTGTAATACCGTGTAATAATACATTATTACATTGCTGTAATAACGTAATACTTAATAATGTAATAACAGTATAATAACGTGTAATATTTTTAGATACTGTAATACCGGTAGTCCACTGTACACGTTTTTAACTAGTAAATTCC